CCAACTTCTCAGAGAGGAAAACCTGCGGTATATTTCGCAGGAATATGTTTCAGTCTTTCAGAAAAGAAAACTTGCTGTATATTTCATTGAAGTGGGTTTCAGTCTCTCGGAAAAGAAAACCTACCGTATATTTCACCGGAATAGGTTTCAGTCTCTCAGAAAGGAAAACCTACCGTATATTTCACCGGCATAGGTTTCAATCACTCAGAAAAGAAAACCTAGGTTTCAGTCTATATCACCGGAATAGGTTTATCAGAAAGGGAGCATAGGTTTCAGAAAAGAAAACCTGTCGTATATTTTATCGGAGTAGGTTTCAGTCTCATAGAAAGAAAAACCTGGCTATGTACTTAGAAATACTCAGAAAAGGTCTTCAATACGGAAAACACAATTTATACAAGTGAAAAGGAAATCATCATATTTCATAGAAATGTTTATAACGGTTGGTTAAGTGATAAAAGAATTTCATTAACGGAAAAATCATGTGTCCATTGTTATAACGTTGGAACCTTTCATATATTTCTGAGAAGAATGGTGCATTTCTTTCATTTAAGATTTTCTGTTGATATATGTAATAAATGACTGTTCCACAGTAAGAAATGACCATCATAGTGAAATGTAAAACCGAAAGCAACAAAAAAAGTTACTGTAAGATAAAATAAGATACAATATAATCACTCTTCTGAAGAAATGAGAAGTATTTTGTTGCCAAGTTTGAAACTAAAATTGAGAAAAAATTCTGAATTCTAAACAAAAATGAAAATGGCGCTGGATTTTTATTTTTCTATTTTAACTTATTGATAATTTTCGTGGTTACATCATATTTACTAAGTTAAACATTCAAGTAGTATGACTTAAAATGCTTTGGGATATTCTACATTATAATCCTTAGAACTTCGTGTCAATTTCTACATTATCAACAAGGAAAAAATGGTTGCTTCATTTTCTGTATTGTAGTAGTAACTAAATGCCAACAGAATAATTAAAATAAATTAGAAAACATGTCTCGCAATTGTTGTAAAATATTTTAAGAGAAGGAAAATCCAAAGTCCATAAAATGTATGACAACATAAAAATATAGCCATATTGATAGATGTTTAAGAAACTGTGGACGGTTTCTCTGACTTAAATAATTGAAAGAGTTTTTACTATATATAACATGACCTCAGATGATCAATTACGAGGCTGTTCGCTCTGACAGTCATTGACAACTGAGTGAGGCAAATTTGCGTTGCGAGGGACAGCAGAGTTATCTGCCGCTGTTGCGGTAAAACATGAGATACGATAGTTTGAAACGCCAAATTGTGTATTACTTTATGGATTTCATTATAATCAATTTATCAAGTTAGACAATTTATACATCAACTTGTTCAAAACAAAGACGGAACAATCATTATACTTTAACTACAATGACGAGAAAGAAAACACATGACAAAAATTAATAATTTCATCCCTTTAGACCTGCAGTTACTTCTATATGGTAGCATAACTCCTCGTATGAAGATTTTGATCTCTCTCTCTCTCTCTCTCTCTCTCTCTCTCTCTCTCTCTCTCTCTCTCTCTCTCTCAAGTCAACAATGAGGACAAATGAACAATGAGGACAAATGACCAATGAGGACACCACAGTTTTTTTTATAATTATTATGCGAATAGTCTCTTGGAACATTTAACCAGTAAACTTTAAAAAAAAAACAACTACAAAATGCATAAAGAATGAATATGTTCTGACAGAAAAAAAAGTTGTTTTTAAAATGCACATACAATTCGTACCATTTTCCGAGTAAACGATGTCAAATTAAACGAGACTAAACACTTATTTGAGATTTAGTAGCTCTGATGGTTTGGTTGAATAACCACTAGCCAGCGGTTAAACACTGTTTATTTGGATTAATGTTAAGTTTAGGAATCCAATATAAATGAAGGAGGTCCGTATCCTAATTACTTATTCGAAGTCTAAATGATCGTAATACTGAAGCAAAAAAAAACACATATACTGGACTCTTTGAAACAACAAGAAAATTCCTACATGCGTGTATAAGATTAAACCTGGAGAAAGAATCATGAAAATAAGACCATATGTTCCAGAAGCACAAGAGTCGCAACGATAAGACCTGCCCAAGTCTTTTTGTACGGTCCTTTCTTATGACGAATTATAAAGAAACAATGAACAGATAGATATGTAGTACTTATATATTCCACGATATCAGAACTCATCTAAATCAAAGACAATGTAATGCTCTCTTTCTTCCTGTCCTTAAGAAAAAATGAATATTTGTCCCCGTAATTTTAGTTCCATATACTTATTAGGTCTTTCTTTAGAATTAAATAAAGAATACCAGGAAAATAAGACAACATTTCTTCATGAGTTGCCTCCCCTGAATTATAAAATTTATGAAAGAGACAATACAGCGAAAAACGATCAGTGATTTAAGGATGTTTTCATGTTGTTTATAATGGCTCCGTCAATTAATAGTCTCTTTTCAAAAATGACACACTGGCCTGACATTATCCCTTAATAATATGCAAATTTGCACGCACCTGTATTCTGTGAACGTGCGTTATGTTTGGTATATATACCACTGTTGACAATATCGTGAATGGTGGATCCGGAGAGTACATCAATATATATTTCTCGATGGAAAACTTAGACTTTACCTCAACTTTATAATTGTCATCTCACTATTTGACCCATCTTATGCTGAATAATAATATTGTATGAATATTTTTAACAATGAAAGAGACATTGATCAACACTTTCGTTCGGTAAAAAATAATCAACTATTGCTACTGCAGTATACTGACTACTGCCCGGAAGCACAGACCAAAATTTCATCTTAATCCGTTTGTTTTTTTTTTAAATTTTGCTAGCACCATATTACCTGGTCACAACCGATATTTCAAGATCAAATAATTAAATTGATGTGTAATACGTCAGTTTGAGGCGATTGCTGAAAAAAAATCCATATACATGTCAATCAGAGTTTTGTCCGGTCAAATGCTATTGTTATCTGTGATAAACAAAAAACATTGATGTAAGTGTCACGTCATCAACAGAAAAATACTCTTTTTTCCATAGATGTTGATATTTTATGTGCCGTTACAAAGAGACAACTCTCGTTCGGACAAAAACAAAGATTTCTTCGACAATTTCTCACATCTCCGCATTGTCCAATCAAACGTGACTTTACAAAATGACGTCGGCATGTTTTGTGTAGGGTGATAACATGTAAAACGGAAAACGAAACTTTGCTCGTTTCATAAAGAATTAAATTATATAGATACATATATACTGACCACCATGTATTTGTTTGAAGACTCTGGGAATCAAAGCATGTTGATTAAAAGAATAATAAGACAGTTTTCAACGAACATAAGCTGATTAAAAAAATATTTGAGTTCATCATCACGAATCAAAAGGCCATATAGATTAGGTTATTATCAGTCGAGATCAACTGTAGGATGTTATAAGTCGAGATCAACTGTAGGTTTGTATCAGTCGAGATCAGCTGTAGGATGTTATAAGTCGAGATCAACTGTAGGTTTGTATCAGTCGAGATCAGCTGCAGGATGTTATAAGTCGAGATCAACTGTAGGTTATCATCAGTCGAGATCAACTGTAGGTTTGTATCAGTCGAGATCAGCTGTAGGATGTTATAAGTCGAGATCAACTGTAGGTTATCATCAGCTGTAGGATGTTATAAGTCGAGATCAACTGTAGGTTATCATCAGTCGAGATCAACTGTAGGTTATCATCAGTCGAGATCAACTGTAGGTTTGTATCAGTCGAGATCAGCTGTAGGATGTTATAAGTCGAGATCATCTGTAGGTTTGTCTCATCTGTAGGTTTGTATCAGTCGAGATCAGCTGTAGGATGTTATAAGTCGAGATCATCTGTAGGTTTGTCTCATCTGTAGGTTTTTATCAGTTGAGATCATCAGTAGGATGTTATAAGTCGAGATCATCTGTTCGGTTCAAACATTATTCTTTGAAATAATGGGGTAGACGAATTCAAATTACATCATCTCTGCACATCCAAGTAACCATAAACATTTTCACTTTTTTTTTAATCATGGAGGGGTTCAGATCTTTTATTATTCACATAAACATAGGGTAAGACAAATTCAAATTAAACCATCTTGGCACATCCTGTAAATCATGAATATTTTTGCCTGGAACAAAATAGATGTTGAAAATTTAAATTAAGTAAGGAGAAAATGAATCGTTTAATCGATTCTTTTCCGCTTTCTCTATTTCTCTTTATTTCATTCTAGAACACTTTATAACAATATATGAAGAATTAAGACTGTGTATTCATTCAGCCTTGTATAACCTTTGTACATGATAACAGCAGTAAACAAGAGATATGTTAATTCGTAAACTGCCATATATTTTGTTTGTTTTCACTGCCAAATTGAGTGATTAAAACAACGATGTTTTATTAATTTTCCAAGACGTTGGGACCCCATGGAGGACAAATGTTCTTTTATTTACAAGTGCAATTCATAGAGTTTCTTATGTAATGAAAAATCCATCTACAGGTTTTCTGGTAATTCTTGTTAAATATCCTGAATTTATTTTAAAATGTGCATGTTAGATGTAAATATTCATTTCTTGCACTAGAAGAACATTTTAATATATCGCATTATCTGGCATCTGGCGCCTAACTAAAGTCTCAGTACCTGTGTAATTCCTTTTGTCTATTTTCGCAGTTTTATATCCACTAATCACACAGCATGGACTAATATTTTTGTGAACTGCCAACAATACAACGATATAATACATGTACTTTAATGAAAATACTGTAAGTCAGTGACGTATTATTCATGACAGTGCTAAATTACGACAGTTTTTATTTTTGTTTAGGCCTCACACATAAAGCGATTTTCCTCTAGAAAATCTTGAAATTAGATTTCAATTGCCATTTAAAGCCATTTTAAAGAAGATACAACCAATCTATTCGATTTAAAGCACAGACTGACCAATCTTTAATCTTATTTATGTTTTTAATTGTCCATCTTTGTCTGACTTTTCAGTGGTATCTGAACATAATGCCAATCCTTGTTTTCGGTAACGTCTATAGCACCTCTTTTTTTATAAAAAGCCATTGCCCTTGAATTCCAACCATGGGCTAGAATTTCTATTCCATTACAACCGTTTGCTGCAGCATCCTACAAGAATGAATAAAAAAAATATGTAACAGGTATTCGTTATTGTTATTAAAATATGATGTGATATTGCCTGACATATTGCCATACCAAAATAGCCTTCAAACAAGTAAATATTTTCATGCAATGTACGTGATGCGCTATCATTGAAATAATGAGAGATCGCAGGCCTTTTAATATACACCGAGATATCCGTACACGTATCCAAGCAAGGCTTGGACTAAAATGCCTGCCATTTCCTTAGATACATTGACCGGAAAATATCGGTAGCTTAGAGCAGAGGTTTCGGAAGCATTCTTAAATATGTACATATTTCGCAACATAGAAATTTTTTGATTTGCATTGTCAGCTTTTAAGCAGTGTGACGTTAGCAAAATAAATAAATCCCATCATAAAATAACAGAATTTACCTTTGATACCATGTCCAATAATCTTGTTCCAATGCCTTTGCCTCTTTTCTCCGGAGCAACAAACAAGTTGTCTAGAACTGTCAACCGTCCATCGCACATGGTAAATTTGTCCGAATACGCTGCATATCCTATCAAGGGCTTAGTTGAGGATTCTATGAAATAATTAATATGAGACAAAAATCAAATTTGATCTAAATATGAAAAAGGATCGAGATAAATCGGCAGCATTGGAATGCTGATTAATTTTCCTTTTGACATTAATTTTTATCTTTAATCAATTTAATTGGTTCGTATTGTAACTAAATGATCATATCTTTAAATCTCACCAGCAGAAAAAATGGGGGGGTTTTCTTGACTTATTCTTGACTTATATTATTATCACTATTAAGGCTTTAAGTTAAAAATATCACACGTAGATATCTTTGTTAAATGCGTTTATCGAAATTTGAAAGGCACACCTTTTAATACAACTATCAAACGAAAACAAGAGAAATTATTTGAACTTGAGGTTCAACAAAGAAAGTTAATTTCCAGCTCTCTTGTGTCTAAGCATGACACATCAAACTGTGTCAACTGCTTGCAGCGCTTCGGCAAAAGGATTAGTACCCTAATAATCATTAATCTCTGTTTAAAAATGTTTATGTTGTCATGAGTGTTATGTTCGACTGAATGTTCAGTTATTTCTCTTTTTGAAAATAGTTTCCATGAGTGGAACATTTTGCATAAATTTCACTGATGCGATGAAAGATTCAACAAAATCTCCAATGGCTTATGTAATCGATTATATATCACCTTCAATGTCCGTTTTTTAAAAAAAATTATTTTAAGTAATTTTACAGTTTCAGTGGTAAATCGGATGCAAAGTTGTGTTCACATCCATCTAGGATCATAATAATAACAAGACGATATTACGAACCAGATCTCAAACTTTACCTATGTACAGCAAGTGCAGCATGTGAACGTCATTGTAGTTTGTTAAATAGAATAAACATATTACACGAAAAAACATCCTGCGCGAGGACAAAAGTAAAAACATATCGATATTTCGACTTTGGTTATGTCAGTGTTTGAACAAAAATGTTTGATGTGATAAAATATATGACATACATGAATTATGTTGCACTTCTTATCTACTCACCACCATTTGAGAGATCTTCTACCACTAAGCACTTGTACAGTTGCAGATCTCGTCTTAAAGCTGTCAAATTGAATAATGATAGAGTCATACACTATATACTGAATGCAACAGAAATTCACTTGACACTACAACCACTATTAGATTTTAGACGACTGTCAGCTTAATGGATAACATATGCTAAGAAACTGTATATAATTAATTTCTGGTCAGTGTACACCAAGGGATCCTGTCCAACATTAACGATTTGCAGAGACGTATACAGGCGTATAATGAATTCTTTACGCTGACTTATCTTTTTTTCCAAATTTGGCTCATAATACCATATTCATAGCAAATTAAACATCTATATTATAAATATATAATTATTTACTATCCAACACGAATTTGTAATATGTTCAAGAAGACTCATTGATCGCGTCTCTAGCCTACAAATACCTATAATTGCGTATTGGAGGATTTATGGAAATGGTGTTTTAAAGAGGAATCCGTCAGTTGTCAATAATATTCAAGAGATGGAGAGTCATGGCAAAGGTGAAATGAGAGTACCTATCCTCCACCATGAGAATGACCTCATTGATTTGACATTGTACCAGTTGCTTGCTGACAGAGGCAGAAATAGTTGAAGCAAAGTGGTCGCAAAGTGTATACGAATTATATATGAGTTAAACTACAGGAACCTAGAGTCTGATAAGTGTATTTGCGACGAGAATAGAATTAAATGCTGTTAAGTTTCAATCAATAGCAGTTTCTGTATATGTGCAAAATTTAGCAGCAAATCTTACTTTCTGGTGTTGATTTCACAGCATCCGGCTCCTTCAAGTATGCGGCCAATTCCTGGAAAATGGAAACGGGAACAAAAGAAATATACCCTGAAGAAGTTCAAGAAGCGTTCCGAAAAGGTAAGCGCATTCTACTTCAAAGACGATACACGTAATGTGAATGTTCGCACAGAAATTAGACATTTTTCCTGATGAGATGATAATGACAGTCATGCTTTTGTTACTCACTCTAAACTATATGTGGTGAGTTTACCTGTCGGCTAGTGACATCTTACACTGAAAGCTTGATATTGGGAACATGGATTTGAATATTTTTTGACACAATATGTTAGGGAAACAGTACATTCAATGATTATAAGTTTTGGAATTTGATTATGAAAGCTGGAACAGAAATACTGTTCGGATATACAGTTGACTCTTTCAAAGACACATGTTCTGTTAAGGTTTCACATAGAATATATTGTAAATAAGCAGACATGTCATAAAATAAATAACAATAGAAAGTGTCAGCGATCGGTCTAAAACATGACATGCTGTATTACAAGTTTTCCGTGATGTCGCATTCAAATTCTTGACACTTTCACAAAGGCTTGATTCAACATTTTGACGTTTATACTTTTGTTCCTTAAATATTAATGACAATGTGAAGAAGAACAGGTCCTTGGATTAGAATCTTTGATTTTTTTATGTTGACACGACTAATCATTGGTAATCAATTTAAAAAAAAGTTGTGCTTAAGTATTCAGTACAAAACATTCTCAGTTTTAGACGACGAAGTGAATTAATCTCTTTTGTCATCAAAGCAGTCAAACCGATGTATAGTTTTCTATACTGTGATTCTTTCAAGCGTTATGAAAATGTATAAGGACGACAGCGATGCAAGACTGTTAGCACGATGCAAGGTTGTTCGGACGCCGTGCAAAATAATTTAAGTCACTTTCTTTGAAAGTACCTAACATTTGTTATAATATAAATTCACGATTTAAAAGTAACGATTATCGTAGTTGTCTCTGATTATTTCAAGGTCTGGTAATGAGTAAACAAAAAAGACCCAACGGTTCGATTAAACACTATCACTCCACTGTTATTGTAGAATTAATTTCCGGATGTCTTAGCTTATCTAAGGTAAAGATAAAACTATGTCGGCCTGCATGACATTTCCCCCATCTACAAATATATCAACGACGTGTGTTTGAGCTAATACACTTATCATACTTACCACCCTTCCTATACTTTTTTTCTATAAAATATCCTCTTTTTTCAGTCTGTATTTGTTTATTATACCAGAAGGGTATTTTAAGAATGACTTCGTTTGTATATTCAAGACTTTGTATTTGTTTAAATAACCTGCTTTTTAACACGTCTTTCCAAAATGAATTTCTATAGTTTTGTTGACATTTGTAAATATACTCATTATCACAATTTGCTAAATATCCTGGTTTCCATATCTGTTAAAGAATGTATGTTATTTTCCATCTATTACATATAACCTACACATCCAGGTAAGTTTTAAAGAATCAATAAGAGATCGTATGATATCATCTTAAGCCCCCTTTACGACAGTTTTTGATAATAATATATATTATTTCAATAGATGTACTATTCCATAAAAAATTAAATAGTTTTGTATTAGTTTTTTGATAAATGGCTCGGCTGTATTTGGAAAAGATATGAAAAGATGATTGAATTTAGATAAGAGAATGGACTTAATGATATGTGCTCTTCCAAGAAGTGTAAGAATCCTTCTGTTCCAAATCTAAATGATTCATTTTTTCAACATGGGTAAGCCTGCAAATTTGATGTAGGTCCACATAAAAATCAATACCTAATACCGTAAATTTAGTAATACTCCATTATAAACTGCACTATGGGAAAGTGTCAAGATTTATATCGTCAATATTACTGTCACTTGAGTACAGTTTTTTCATAAAATTCTCTTACTACATTTAAAATATGCCCCTGTTTTGATATAATTTCCCCTTTTTCTTTTTCCTTCATTATAATTATTTTAGCAGTGAAATTACGATTTCCAGATTAAAATGAAGTACTTTGTCGGTTTCTCCCCTCTTCCATCAATTTTGCATTTGAACAAATAATGCTTCACACCTAATATCAAAAAGACCCTGGATCTCATGAAAGGAGGTTGATCATACTGAAAAGCTGACGTTGGATGGATGACGAACGGACAACGGAATTACTAATATGGTAAAAACACACTTTGGCCTGGTGAACTTACAATTCTAAACGGCCAATAACTGAAAATTCTTACTTTCAGCATCCGGAATATGTTATCCACGTCTTGCTCCCGTGCTTCTCGAATATTGAACTGCGACATAATTCATCAAAGCTAGAACTGCAACCAACAAACATGAATAAACATGTTTTTCATATGAAAGAAAGTTTTGTAATTTATCAAAGATTTGCTGTTCTATTCGGCAAATACACCAAAAAAATATTTTTGAGTATGGCAGCAAGTGATATTGCACATGATGACGTCAGAATTAGACAATGAAATGACGTTACTGATTAAGATTCTATTTATATATATTTCTCAATGTGATGATGTTTAAAAGTGATATACGATATGGCAAAACGTACCAAGGAAAGAAAAAAGTATTTGTGAAAAAAACACATAACCTTTAGTGCAATATAACATGTTATCTCGTCAGTAGTCGATGGCTGTGATTTAAATACTCTTGATTTGGCCAATGAGAACACAGTGACACGTGCAACTTAATACAGCTACCACTGATAGTGCATGTATGTGGCAACACCTACTTTGAGGTCACACGAGAAGTATTTTTGGGAGATATGGCGTCGTCTTTTGATTCCTTGGTCTTGGTCTGAAGGATGCCTGTTTAACACTTTACAGCACGACGTGTACGTGTGCCCGGATCATAAGTGTTAACTTTACAGTATCAGCAGATATTGAAGTAAAAATTTGTTATGACATTATCTATTAAAAAAAGGTCACTTTGGTCTCGTCAGTTCACCATAATCAAGGTTTTAAAAATATGCACAAAGCACTTGTACTTAGATTGCATAAATAGGTATTTCGTTGAGATAGATAGTGATATATACTGCTGTGAAATTCCAAAGTCTAACGTTAATCTGCGTGTCCAGTTTGAACACATTTGATTAGATTAGATTCAGAATATACATATGAACATTCTTCTGATAGGTATAATGAAATATTGATTTTTGGGTTCGCTTTTCTTACCTAAACCAATTCTATTTTACCTCTGTCGTGTTCATTTCAAAATAAGTTCCTAAGCATCGTGAACCAGAGCTAGAAGGACCAAATAGCTGTATTATGCCTTTTAAATAACAATTAGGTAATATTGTATTCAGTTCCAAACTTGTATTGAATGCTACCAATGGCTTGTGTGTTTTTTGTTTGTTGTGTTTTATTTTTTTTTTTGACATTCGTTTACCAAGATATCACAAATAGCCTTATTTTGACTTTTCCTTGAAATAATGCCTTTATTTGCATATTAATTGTCAAAAGAAAAAAAAGAACAATTTCCGTCTATTATCTTCGTATTGAATTATCTGTTTTCGATTTTTTATTACATCCTTCTCAGGAAAATAGATTTCGACATCACTATGTTGTCTTTTGTCTTTGTAGGTTGACATAATGATTAGAATAAAGACCGTTTTCAAAGTACAAAAATAGTCTTTTTCGATATTTTATGAAAATTATAATTCATCATTTCGCCAATTATATTAGCCAACATTTCCTGATTTCTGTAATTCTTTCATTAGTCAATGTTTATAACTTTATAAATTTCTAGTATCTTTAAAATAAGACAATTTTCCGCATAAAAGATGTCTATTTTTAATCAATATTTTATCTTCATGTTTTACATACAAAAACAATTTAATTTTCATAATAGCATGATTCGGTTGGTGCGGTTAAATGTATAATATAGTGTAAAATATATTTAACATGTATTTTGTAAGAATGTAACTACTAACCATGAAATTCGAGTAAATTTCTCTCTCTCTCTCTCTCTCTCTCTCTCTCTCTCTCTCTCTCTCTCTCTCTCTCTCTCTCTCTCTCTCTCTCTTAATTAAAAATGATTTATATATATAATTATTTTGAGCCATGTTGAAATGTATATATGTAATTTTTTTTCCTTCTAAAGGAAAGGGCGTTAATAATGTTATCGTAACTTGTGCCCAATTCTTTTGCTTAACGGCAATAAAATATGTTTAAACTAAATTTAATTTCCGGATCAATGTCTTTTTAAAATCATGTCCGTATATAATATAAATATGAAAAGATATAAACTTATCAGAACGAGGGGATCTGCATTGTCACTCGATCGTATGAGGATACATCATTTAAGACAGTGCTAATAGTGCGCTCAATACCTCAGCTAGCTTGTTGCCAAACCAGAAATACTTTATTTGAAGAAAAATAAATGCATTTGCATCGAATTAAAAATCAAACACAGCACGTACAGTTGACACCGCCGAAGCTATGACCAAAACAGTTTTTAAAGTAATATATAGTTATGTAATCTGTAAACAAGCTATCAGGCGAACACACTTTAATTATTATGACGTCAATAATATTATAACATTAATTAAACTCGTCTATATCATATATCTATATAGAGATAGTTTTGAGAGTGATATTTGTTTCACCGCAATTGTTTTGATATTTTAACGAAAAATGCCAGTATGAGTTTACGCGTGGTTGACCTCTGGACATACGAAAGTGCATGCGATCGGTCTAAATAACATGCTTAACTTACATGCAATTCTTTTAGCTAGTCACATCAAAACCGTCTGTACTGACTACCAGAAAAATGCAATATGCAGATTACATGTTTATTTAACCAACTTATTATATCAACAAAGATGAAAAAAGATAGATAATCTCACAAGTCAGTCAATGTTATATACGCCGACTTACTCGTTGGTGCAGGAGTGCATACATCGTTTTATCAGATAACATTATCGGGATGCCCTTTGCTTCTATAGATAGTGTATACTTTGATTCGAACACACAGTTAAAATGGTTTAACCTCACTTTGTTATCCGACCTGAATACCTGGTAAACAAGTGGGTCCCTTGTGTACGACGTTAATACCGATCCGCTATGATATGATCAATGATAACCTGCCACTATTTGGAAAGACGCCAAACTGAGGTAAAAAACAGCTGCTAAAGTATAAAGTTTAATGACATCTTTTTTGAGCTACGGTTTGTCATCGTTATTCCGCTGTGTCGGGTTGTTATTTTTTTCGCTTTGGCGGGATTTCGTTTTTTCGCTTTGGTGTGTTTTCGTTTTTTCACTTTGGCGGAAAAGAAGGAAAAACAACAACATGTTAACATAATCATAATTCAAACTCAAAATCCATAACAATAGGGAAAAACATAAACAAAAGAAAGATTTACACGGAGACTCATGAAAATGTACAAAGAGAATATGATAAGAAGTAAATGGGATTTTAGAAACATTATTCAAAGCGGAAAAGTGAGAAGACAATCTTGGAGTATCTGACTGTATAGACAGCAAGGAAAATATACCCACAAGATTATCAACAGCGCATAACTTCACTGAATTAAGAAATCATTCAGATTTTGTCGAAATATTATCAAATAAATGATTTTTTCTTGTAAAAAGAATATATAGAAATAAAGAAATGTAAAAAACAATGATGTAAAACATGGCAAACATCAACATATAACTCACACTAGATTGAATAATTTCATATTGAAATATTTTCGCCATTTTGGTTACATTTACAATGCATCAAAGAGTAAAATCAGAGGATTTAAACATTTTACGTAGTTATATTTTTAATATTCACTGATGTGCCGGAAAGAAGGCTTAGCTATAGAATAACCACTTTGGGACATATCTGTTTCTGAGGTGGAATTATTTCATTTTATTTCATACATTGGCCTTTATCGTACGTAATCTAGTTTTTTTCCCTGATTAACAGTTCAATTCCGGGATAATTAAACAGTGTATTGTATTAGATGGCTTGCGAAATCGCGGCATACGTCCAACTTCAAAGTTTGTTTGAAAGCGTGGAAGAAATTTCGAATCTGCCATACAATGTATACCTTATAGCTCTGTAATTGCCGTCTCATTGGTTGCCGCGTCTCTGAATAAATTTTCTGACAAAGTGATACAAAAATCTTATTGATTTCAAGGGTTTTACTTTCTCTTTCCATTTATTATTTCACTAGAAATCCTCTATTTCATGTAACTAATTTGATACAAAAATCTTATTGACTTTCAAGGGTTTTACTTTCGCTTTCCATTTATCTTTTACTAGAAGTCCTCTATTTCATGTAACTAATTTGATACAAAAATCTTATTGACTTTCAAGGGTTTTACTTTCGCTTTCCATTTATCTTTTACTAGAAGTCCTCTATTTCATGTAACTAATTTGCATCTAATCAATATTTTAATCATATCTATAAGTCCGTGATTAAAGACGCGTAAAACACACAGAATAAGCCCTATATGTACATGTAAAATACACGAAATATGCTAAAATTGAAGTAAAATACTGACCATCTCTGTTGATAAGAATTAAGATACCATTCTTTATCCTAATACACGCATATGCTCAACATCACGCTGACAGATGTCACCCTCTTTACTTCTGGTGAGAAACAATGGTAATGACAAGTGTGTACAAGGCACTTGGTGTTTACCTCATTGAATAATATACGGAAGGCACGTCACATGCCATCCTGATCAATTAAGGAAAAGCGTCTTGCTCTAGGACACAAGCACGACAGCAGAGATCGGTTCGTATCTCAGCTTCCATGGAAACATAAACCATCATGGGCAGGGAAGTATGGAACCACGCACCTCAAATCAATATCTGATGTGGAGTACAGATCCTTATCGATTTTGGGATAGCAATATTCTTCAATATAACAAATTCCTGTAAAATATATAAACGAAACACATTGATACCAAAATTTCTGTAATATTCAAACGTATATCAATTCTTCAACATATGAATTCGTGAATTTAAAATACCTGACGGCATCTACGAAAATAAAAGAACCACGAATATTTATGACTTTATTAATATGATATAATGACTACACGCCCGGAAACATCCTGTAAGAAATGCTATGTTTGAAGATCTTACCACCAAACTCGACGAACATGTTGTCAACCAGAAACTCAATCATTTCTAAGATTTTGTCCTCCGTATATTCCTGCTTTGATTTGGACGTATCTTTATTTATTATGAAATACACTTGTATTTATACCACTTTTTACCTTTCTTGGAAAAGAAAACACTCTTAACAAGAGAACGAAGGTGTTCTTTCGGTTTAGAATGGGGTATG